CCTAAAAATAAAAAAGTGATGTCAGATCCTAATGTCATCACAGCTATAACCTACAAGAGACCAGCCTATTCAAACCAGGCAGAACAATTTCATTCCCTTTGGTCTGCAATTTCTTTCTTTTTTTTGGATTTTCGAGACAGGGTTTCTCCGTAGCTTTTGGTTCCTGTCCTGGAACTAGCTCTTGTAGACCAGGCTGGCCTCGAACTCACAGAGATCCGCCTGCCTCTGCCTCCCGAGTGCTGGGATTAAAGGCGTGCGCCACCACTGCCCCCCACCACTGCCCGGTGGTCTGCAATTTCTTAGACTTCTATCAAGGAAACATGACTACTTAACCAAAGTGTATCTTAAGGATTTACCACAGCTCTGTCTGTCTCAGCAACTTCGTTCTGCCCATGTCGGCTTTTCTCCTACTCTGAGTATGATTCTAAGATGTCATTAATTGCTAAGATGGACAGAACCCGGATCAAAATGAATACACTCTGTTCCTTACTTGAAGCTTGTGGCGAAGCCTCCACCTCCAGGTTGGACGGGAAGCGCTCGCTCTGAGCTCCCAGCACCCCAATGGGTAAGGACTGGTCCCCAGAAGCCAGGTCAGCTTCCAGCTCCTCACTGACAGGGAACGTGATGTCACTCACGGGCTCCTCCTTGATCTTCACAGGCTTAGTGTCTTCCGTGGCCTTCTCAGGATTGACAATCCTCTCATACTCTTCAGAGAGCTGCTTGCTAATCTGTTGGCAAGCAAGAGTTAATTCTCCAAGGATATTTGAGGAGATTGGATAGTCAACTGGTGGTACCCAAGGAGAACCCAGCAGAGTACAAGTTAGTACATGAGGTGTACTTTTATTTTTCTTTCCTTCTGGTGTGTGCGCATGTATATGTACATGTGTATATGCATGTGTGTGTGTACTTGCACACTTGAGTGCATGTGTATGGAGGTCAAAGAGTCAGTGCAATTGTCTTTCCTCAGGTGCTTCCACTTTGAGAAAGCGAGCTCCAGGAATCCCCCTGTCTCCACCTTGCATCTCATGAGCCCTGGGGATATGAATCAGGTCCTCAAGCTTTTGAGGCAAACACTTTACTAACTGAGCCAGCCTGAAAGATGAATTTTAAAACTTCTGCTGCTAGGACTGGGTGTGCACCTCACTGGGAATGCATGCTTAGGGTGTGCAAGGCCAGGCATCCCCAGCACCACAAAGCAACAAGAATACTGGCAATAGGAAGTTGTTTAAGGGGTTGGGTCAGAGTTTATGATAGAGACATACAAAGAAAATGTGTCCGAAAATGTTTTGATCATTACTTAAAAGTTACATAAGGCAAATAAGATGAGACAAAATGCTGCATTTCTGTCTATAAAAATTAACAATTATCTGACCACAGCAACACATGCCTGGAATTCCACCTCTTAGGAGGTTGAGAAGAAGGGTGGAGAGTAAAGGCAACCTGCACAGTGGAATCCTGCCTCACAACAGAAACCTCTCAGACATCTGGCATATAGGCAAACACTAAGTGAAGCAGCGATTTGGACCCTAAGCAGTCTTTTTGTTAGACGCTGAAGGTTCCTGGTCACTCCCCCTTCACTCGCCCCCCCCCCCCTTTTTGGTTTTTCAAGACAGGGTTTCTCTGTGTAACAGCCCTAGTTGTCCTGGAACTCACTTTGGAAACTAGTAGACCAGGCTGGCCTCGAACTCACAGAGATCCATTGACTCTGCCTCCCGAGTGCTGGGATTAAAGGTGTGCGCCACCACCGCCAAGCTCCTGGTCAATCTTCAGTGGAGAATTGACACTGCCTAACCCTCAGGAAGTGGAGAGATGTTTGTGCCCTGCCCTACCCTCAGGCGCCCTCCCAGGGCTCTGGGTCCTCAGTTTCAGCCCTCGAAGCCGTCTGAACTGCTGTGGCTATTACTCACTTGCCTGCTTTTGTTCTCAGGACTACTGTAAGCTCACAAGCTTACCCACCTTCTAAACTACAATCTCCCACAATGCCTGACTCATAGTAAGTCTTCAGTAAATACTTGAAGATGTCCGCGACTCCAGATACCTGTGTATGTCTTCCAGAGACAGAAGCAATGAATGGGCTGTTGGGCTGTCCGCTGACTGAAAGAGGCCCTGACATCTCACTAGATCAGTGTGAGGACAGAGAAAGTGGGTTACATTCCCTGTGCACTTCGCTCCAGAACACATGTTGGAGACCCTGCTGAACATTGCCAGACTACGACACCTTTGCCGACTGCCCCACGGTCACCTCACCTGTAGCATGTAAGTGTGATAGTCCTTGATGCGGTGCTGCCAGAACTCCTGCAGGGAGAGCACGCTGCCAATCCCCACTTCATGGAACACCTGCTCCATGACATCAGGGAAAGGGGTCTGTCCCAGCCTGGCCTCCCGGTCTACGGCAAAGCGCAGCAACTTGGTGAACTTGAGGCAGTACTCATGTGCTACGTCAGTTAGGGTCTCCAGGACGCTTTCGTTAGCACAGTCAAAGCCCGCATGGGCCAAGATTGTGGCCACTGCTTGGTAGAGGAGCTGCCGACAGGAATGCCAGCTGAGTTCAGTCACTGGTTCTCCTTTTCCGCTGGAAGTGGAGACATGGCAGCGTTACTTGTGTAGCTGCCAAGGGTGATCAACCTGTCTCACTGGGGCTCTACAGTTCCAGTAATCCCTGGCCCTGTTGCGGGTAAACGGTCACCTTCATCCTGCTCTTCTCAGGGCACGAGCCCCCAGTTACACAGTTGAACAGGCCATGTCTAAAATAAACAGTGCTGGAGAATGGCAACGGTATCAGACCCCTGGGGACTGGAGCTACCTACACAGCTGTGAGCGGCCATATAGCTGCTGGGAATAGAACCTGTTTCCTCTGAGAGCAATGAGTGCTCTTACCCACGGTGTAACCCCTCCAACCCCTTTCAACATTTATTGGCCTTCTGCCTTCCTCTGGCAAGGGAACTATTTTGTAAATAAAAATAAAGCAGAGAAGAAAATCACTGCTCCTTTGTTTAAGTCTCCATGCTCTGTAGAGGTGGGGGCCTGAAGAGCCACTCACGCATTTAACTGCTCTGTTCAACAGCAACACTGCATGCTATGGACAGCAACTGACTTTTCATTTAACATGTTCAGCCTATCTGGTCCAAAGGTTAAAAGCATCAGAAGTGCCCATTAAAGAGCTAGTTACTATCACTTAATTTGAGCAATATGTGGACTGTTGTTTTCTCCCTTGTAGTGCTGGGATCTGAACCCAGAGCCTGCATGAGCCAGCAGCGCTCTACACTGAGCTACGTCCATAGTCTACATAGACTTCTTTAATGGAAAATGATGTCGTGGCACCTTGTACCTGGCATTATATGTATAAAACAATCTAGCTTCATATTGTGTGTGTATGTGTGAGTGTATGTAGAGGCTTGATCCATGTGTCTGTGTGCACAATGCTAGTAGGCCTGAGGTGTCAACCTGCAACTTGCTGACTAGGCCATGGTTCGCTGATTAGGCTATGGTTCGCTGATTAGGCTAGGCTGGCCAGCCGGTGAGTGCCAGGGATCCTCCTCTCTTTGCCTTCCCCACACTGGGATTACAATCCTGTACCACTGTGCCCAGATTTTTAACTGGGTTCTCAAACTCAGGTTCTCATGGTAACATTTTACTGACTGAGTAGTCTCCCTGGCTAGGACCTTGTATTTTAAGGCAGGGTCTCTCCTTGTCCTGTAGCTCACCAAGTGGGTTTGCTGATTGGCTAAAAGAGTCTCAGAGGTGTTTGTCTCCGTTTTCCCAGTGGTGCAATTATAAATGCCTGGCTTTTAAATACAGGTTCTGGGACAGAACACGGGATCAACCAGTTTACTGACTAAGCCACTGCCCCAGTCCCTGGGTATGGTCACCATTCTCCTTAACAATTAAAATAGGAACTTGACAAAAAAATTTATAAAATTGTAGTAATACCATGAATTTAATACAGAACAACAATATTTTGTTGAATGAAAGTATATTACCCCTCAAGAAATGGGAATGTGGTGCTCACTGTAACAGGCTGTCTTCTTCCTTATTGCTAGGCCACGGCTCTACCACTGAGCAATGTCCCCAGCCTCTTTTTACCTTTTATGTATCAGTGTATTATTTCACTTCTAGTAAAATATCTGGCATTAATAGGCACTTAATAAATGCCTAATGTATTAGAAAATTAAAAAAATACAAATTCTAGATTCTCAAGATTTGGATTAACATTTGAGACACCCCACTAATGACGGACGTGAGTAATGTCAGCCAAGTCGATCACTCCCACCCTCAGTTTCCTCATAGAGAAGTGGAAATGCTCCCATAAGCTTAACAGGATCACTGGTGGGGAGGGGATCTCGTTTAACAAAAAGACAACATAGCAATGCTTTGTCTTACCGGTAAAAGTCACTCTCTGGGTCACTGTGCCGGATCTGGAATGGTGCGTTGGGATTTTTACAGTCTAAAGGCTGGAGGTCATCAGGGAGAGGAGGTGACCCAGGGCAGGAGGGAAGAGGTTCGCTCTCCTCAGCCTTCACGCCGTCTGTCTGCTGCTGATTCTGGGTCTGAGCGGTGGCAATGAGGCTGCGAAGGCGTCGGTTGTGCTGGATCAACTGGATGGTGTGGATGGTGAGGCTGCAAGGCTCTGAGGGGATGTCCAGCATGGTTGGGGGTTTGGGCTTGCTGGCCGAGGGCTGGTGCAGGGGTGGGTCATGGACTTCCACCAGGCGGAACTCCCGTGGGAGCAGATCAAAGGAACTTCGGTTGGTCTGTCCCGATGGGATGGGTATCTCTCCCCAGTATCTCAACATTTTAGGGCATGCAGAGAAGAGCTCCCAGGTTTAATGTAGTTGATACCCTACAGGTAATGTGTTCAAGTCTCGGGCAGTTGTAGGTCATAGGCTTCTCTAGTAAAAAATATGAAGTCCAGCAGTTCTTACATAAAAAGCAAGTTAAGATCAATTTGAAATCGGTGTTAGCAAAACTCTAGAGGAAGGATGTTCTCCTTGAAGAAATTAAGAGAAAAATAATTGTCAGAAGCCAATCACATAATGACAATTCCTCTTGGACTGAAGGACAAAAGAACACAATCATTAGCGGGTGAGCAGCAGGGACTTCTTACCAGAATATCCACCATGCCTAACTCTAAACACTTTACAAAGCGTGAAACTTAAATGAGAGGTCTAGAGTATTTCCAGAGTATTTTGACACAATTGTGCTAGATTAATAGGAAAAAGAGAGTAGCATTAAAAATACTAACGGATAGACAGACGCGGTAGCACATGCCTTTAACACCAGCACTCTGGAGGCAGGGGCAGGCAGATCTCTGAGTTCGAGGCCAGCCCGGTCTAATGGAGTGAGATCCAGGACAGCCAGGGCTACACAGAGAGATATCATCTTAAAAATAAAACAAATAAAAAATACTAATAGATGGTTCTTATCCTATGCTGTGCCTGAATAAATTTTCATTCATCCTGGTGGGAACACTCATGAACATTTAATCTAGCCTTATGCTTTCCAATTCTACACATACATGAGAGAATAAAAGAGGTTTCTTTGTGTGTGCATGCACACGGAGGCCAGAGATCAGCCTTGGGTGTCGTTCCTCAGCATCTCTCTTGCTTTTTGAGATGGCACCTCTTACTGGAACCTAGGCTTGCTGATCATTCCAGACCAGTGAGCTCCAGGGACCCACCTGCTTCTGCCTCCCCAGAATTAAGTTTATAAGCACATGCAACCATACATGGGTTTTTATATGGACTTTGGGAATCGAACTCAGGTCCTTAAGCTTGCAATGGTAAGTATATTACAGACTGAGCTATGTCTCCAGACTGAAGCAGAGTGACTTCAGCTGCCGTCTAACTGGTGTCCCTTCCTCTAGTCTTCCTCAGAATCTGACCTATCCCTTACATTGCTGCTGGGCTTGCTCTTGTTTCCTTTTTATGGTACTGAAGCTTGAACACAGGCTAGGCAGTGTCTCATCACCGAGCCACACCTCCTGCCTGCTTTTTTTTTTTTTTTTTTGCTTCTTGGTGTCAGACAAACTCCAGTTGAAGGCATTCTGATGTCTCTTGGAAAATGTCAGAATTCTGAGCCTTACCATTCAATGAAGCCTACAATCTGTCTTCCATTTACATCTCCAGATTCAATGCCTAGATGTCTCTTCAGGTTCAATACACATCGGACTAGCAGACATTGTGTGAAGGTTCACACTCTTTGCCCTGAGATGAGAAAAACAGAAATAAAATATCTTAGTATAGTGTCATCCAGTGACTGCTAAAGGCGTGGACTCAGTGCCCTGCAGGCACACAGAGGGGTTTCCTATATTAAATGACCTAAGTTCGAACAATATCACACTACTCAGTTTTTTTCTTTGTAATTTTTTTTAAACATTTACTTCTTTTGGTATGAGTTTGGGGGTGTGTACGTAGAAGTCAGAAGACAGCTGTGAGTGTCAGTTCTCTCCTTCCTCCATGTGGGGTTCCAGGGATTGAACCCGGGTTGTCAGGTTTGGCAGCAATTGCTTTTACCAGCTGAGCCATCTAACTGACCCTCAGTTTATTTTCTTTGCTAAGATTTTATTTTCTTATCGTTTTAGTTTTCTGAGACAGGGTTTCTCTGTGTAGTTCTGGAACTCTCTCTGTAGACCAGGCTGGCCTCGAACTCACAGAGATCCACCTGTTGGGATTAAAGGTGTGTACCATCACTGCCCGGTGCCAAGATTTCATTTTTCTTGTGTATGTGTGTGTCCCACATGTATGCAGGCTGCCCAAGGAGACCTGAAGAGGGCATAAGATCTCGCGGAGCCTGAGGTACAGGCAGTTGTGAGCTGCCTCGGCATGGATACTAGGAATGGAACTCAGGTCCTCTGGAAGAGCAGCAAGCACTGTTAACCACTGAATCAACTCTCTAGCCTCATGACTCAGCTTCTTGAGAACATCAGACATTTTCATAATTGACCCTATGAGCTGTGTCCTCTGTCAGGAATCCTATGCCACCCTCTACATTTTTTCCCCCGAGACAGGGTTTTCTCTGTGTTGCTTTGGAGCCTGTCTTGGAACTGGCTCTGTAGACCAGGCTGGCCTCGAACTCACAGAGATCCGCCTGCCTCTGCCTCCCGAGTGCTGGGATTAAAGGCTTGTGCACCACCACCCAGCCTCACTCTCTACGTCTTTATCAGACTTGAATTCGTTCTTTAATATAGCTGAAATCATCACCCCCAATATTTCCCCAATTACATCCTTTCTTTGTATTCTCACATCGATGTGCGTTTATCCCTGAACCTTAGCTTTAATTGACCTAATCACCTGCATTCTCCTACCTGTTATGGCTACCATCTTGGTAGAGTGTCTGGGCATTTGTTAGAGACTTACAATATGAACTATTGTTTAGTTAAGATTTTTAGCAATCCTATGAAAAAAGGAACATTACTATTTCCAATTTTTCAGACGTGGGAGCTGTGGTCCAGTGTCATGCCAATGTCATAAATACCAAGGGTGAAAGAAAAATCGGTTTCCAAGGCCAGGTTCGTAAAGTCACTGAACATGCTGCCTCAATAATTCATTCCAAAAATAATAATTAAAAAAAAAGAATGGACTAACTAACAAGAAATTGCCTTCTTCCCTAACTTCACAAAAGGAGTAAAAGGGATTTCAAGTTTAAGTTCGGAAGGTGCAGGGTCGGGGTTCCGTGACCACGACCGGCAGGCTTAGGCGCCAATCACAGGATCCTGGGAAGTCTGATTTCCAGGAGAGCAGTCAAAGGAGGAACTCTGGACTTGAAACAGATAGGAAGTCTCAAATACTCACCGCCGTGTTCCAGGAGCGGTCTACGCGGCTGTCCGACTCTGACAGGTTCGAGCGACGACTAGGTCAAGCCTAAGAGCCTAGTTTATTGATTAGTAGTCCAAGCCTCCGGAAGCGCTTCTTTTCAAGCGCCCTATGACACAGGAAGTTATTACCAGCCGGTTGCAACGCCTTAAAATGTCCACGTTCTGCCCAACACCACGATAACGTTCCCCTCCCCGGTATTCATATCTTTACAAGTCGGTGAGTCTTCAAAAAGGAACTCCAATATTGCCGCCCATAAAAGCGGCAGGAAGCTGGGCAGGAGATACTTGTGCGGGAACGTGGAGAACGAGTGGCCGGGGTTTCGGAGGGACACATTTTGAGGTTGCACCCGACTGAGGATGGCTGATACTACCTCTCAGCCAGAACCGCCAGCCCCTCAGGAAGTCAGTAGCGAGTTTAAGAAGCCTGTTTTGCCGGTGCCGCCAGCTGTGCGAAGTAAGGCTCCAACCTCCGGTCCCGCAGCCCCTGAGAATGTGGAGAAGGAATGCCCCTCGGTGCTGCTGGACCCCGGCTGTAGGGAGCCCGAGGTCCCATCGGCCCAGTCGGATAACGGGGAGACTGGGAGTCCACCGGCGGAGCAGCTCCGGTCCCCGCGGGTAGCTACTGCTTCTGGCGGTCCGGCCCGGGCTCCCCCATACCAAGAGCCATCGTGGGGCAGCCCAGCCAAGGCCCCCTACAGTCTCGAAACCCTGAAGGGTGGCACCATCCTTGGCACCCGCATCTTGGAAGGGATGAGCTGTTGCCTTTTCGGGAGGCTTGCTAACTGTGACATATGCCTGGAGCATCCTTCCGTGTCTCGGTACCATGCGGTGCTACAGCACCGGGGGTCTGATCCCGACGGAGAAGCTGACAGTCATGGGCAGGGCTTCTATCTCTATGATCTGGGAAGTACCCACGGTACTTTCCTCAACAAAACTCGCATCCCTCCCCGCACTTACTGTAGAGTTCACGTTGGGCATGTTTTTCGCTTTGGAGGCAGCACCCGGCTCTTTATCCTTCAGGTAAGTAGAAAAGTCTAAAATAAGAATCTTAGGATTTATATGCTGGGATTCTGAGTTTTTTTTTAAGGTTTAATTGAGGAAAAAAGATTCAGTCACCAGTGACAAAAGCATAAGGATCAGTCTGGACCCACCGGTCTGTGTACATTGCTGTATCTCTGAAAATAATTTCTCCTTTCCTGAATCCATACATGTATATATTTTTCCCCTTGATTCATTAGGGGCCAGAGGAAGACCGAGAAGCAGAATCTGAGTTAACAGTAACACAGTTGAAGGAACTGCGCAAGCAGCAACAGATGTTATTGGAGAAGAAGATGTTAGGTGAAGACTCAGATGAAGAAGAGGAAACAGATACCACCGAAGGGAAGAGAAATGCTAGTGGCCAAGATGATGAGATGGGTTGCACGTGGGGCATGGGTAAGACATTGCAAATGGAAGTTCTGGGTTCATTACCAGTGGCACGCTTAAATGCTTTTGATCATACAGCTCTTCATGGCTTTTTGATATAGATGTAGGGCAAACATAACTTGGAAATGAAGTAACCAAAGCCCAGGTTCATTAACTGTAGTGTTATAGAAAAATTGAACTGTAGGCACTATACAAGCGCTTCCTCACCGTATAATTTGCTTATTGCTTTCCCACACTTGCCGGGTGGTGGTGGCACACTGGGGAGGCAGAGGCAGGTGGATTTCTGTGAGTTTGAGGACAGCCTGGTCTACAAGAGTGAGTTCCAGGACAGGCTCCAAAGCTACAGAGAAACCCTGTCTCAAAAAAAAAAAAAAAAAGACACACAGTCACAAACAGACACACACATGCAATGTTAAATAATTATCACTGGAGGGCATGGAAAACTTACTTCATTTTGTTGACTAAGAAATCAGCATTTGATATTTAACCTTCCAGGCTGTTTTCACAAAGTACAAAAAATTCAAGAGACTATCGAATATATCCACAAACACCAGACATTTTGGAAGATGGATACTCGGGTTTCTAAAAAGACAGAAGTCAGAGGCTAACAGGGCTTGTGGCCCACATTTTTAATCCCAGCACTCAGGAGGCAGAGGCAGGGTAGATCTTTATGAGTTGAAGGCCAGCTTGATCTGAGTTTCAGGACAGCAAGAGCTACATTATGGAGAGGCCCAGTTTCAAAAATCTAAAGAGAAAGCAGTTGTGGACTAATGAGGTACGGTCAGTAGGTACAGGTGTCTGCTGGCAATTGTGATGACCTGAGTTTGAGCCCTGGGACTCAGGTGGTGAAAGGAGAGAATGGATTCCCACAAGCTGTCCTTTGACCTCCATGTGCTCTGCGGCACTTGCATGTCTGTGGCCTATGTATGTAAAGTGTCAAGACTAAGCATGCTAGAGTTAGTGTCAGAAAAGGGAACAGTCACAGTGAGTAAGACCTGAGCAGGAGAGAAAGACCGATAGGCTGCAGCACTCAGTGCTTTCCCAAAGTGCAGCAGGTCAATGTTGTCTTCATGTGATGGAAAGAAAGAAGATGCCACGGAAACAGTCTTGTCTCTTACGGAATTTAGAAAGCTAAGAGGAGAAGAGATTCTTCCAGTCACCAGTGACAAAAGCATAAAGATCAGTCTGGACCCACAGGTCTGTGTACATTGCTGTGTCTCTGAAAATAATTTCTCCTTTCCTGAATCCATACATGTATATATTTTCCCCTTGATTCATTAGGGGCCAGAGGAAGACCGAGAGGCAGAATCTGAGTTAACAGTAACACTGAAGGAACTATGCAATTTTTGATTTGTGGTTGTTCATCCCATGCCCTCAAATATCTTTTAATCATTTTATAGGTGTGTGTGTGTGTGTGTGTGTGTGATATCTTTTAATCACTTTTAAATATAGGTGTGTGTGTGTGTGTGTGTATCTTGAAACATTATCTCTGTAGTCAGGCAATCTTGGAACCTATGATCCTCCTGCTCAGCCTCCTGAACACTGCGTACAGGTGTGTGTCACTGTGCCAACTCTTCTGTTCTATCCTTACTCCGTCTAGAAGGATCATGGATGTCATTCATACATCTTCTCAAAGAACATTTGTTCTTTATTGTGCCCTGCAGGCGAAGATGCTGTAGAGGATGAGGCTGAAGAGAACCCCATTGCCCTGGATTTTCAGCAGGACCGGGAGGCATTTTATATAAAGGATCCGAAGAAGGCTCTCCAAGGCTTCTTTGACAGGGAAGGTTCGTAAGGGGATGCGGCTCTGACCCTGGCAGTGAGATGTTCACACAGCAGTGCTGTTTCCTAAAGCTTCCTGTTGGGCCTCATAGTATAAACAATTTATTTTATCTGTTGTCATGCTTGTCAACACAGGTTCAAGGCCATCCTAGACTCCACAGCTCTAGCAACAACAAAATGTGTATTTATGCTTCTAAAAAGGCAATGGTGGCACATGCCTTTAATTCCAGCACTTGGGAGGCAGAGGCGGGCGGATCTCTGAGTTAGAGACCATCCTGGTCTACCCAACAAGTTCCAGGACAGGTTCCAATGCCACACAGAGAAACCCTGTCTCAAAAAACTAAAACAAAAAACAAACAAAACAAAACAAACAAACAAACAAAAAAAAAACCCTGCTAGACCTGGTAGCCCGGTAGCGTGTGTCTGTAAGCTCTGTAAGCCCAGTGCTTGGGAGCAGAGAGACAGATGGATCCTTGGAGCTTATTGGTCAGCCAGCCTAGCTGAATTGATGGGCTCCTGGTTCAGTGAGCGACCCTAAGGTGGATGACTGAGGAGGACCCTCACTCTGTGCACACACACACACAAATACATAAATAAAAGATGTATAGAGAGATGATTGGTTTGGGTGTTTTGTTCTGATAGTGCTGGGATCAAATCCAGAGCCTGTTTATACTAGGCAAGCATTCTATCACTAAACTACTCCTGAAACCCAACCCTACCTCCTATAGACCAGGTCAGCCTTGCAGCTATGATCATCTTGCCTCAATTTCTGAATACCTAGAATTACAAGCCTATACAACCAGGATTGTGTTTTGTGGTACTGGGGTTGAACATAAGCAAGCAAGCACTATGCCACTGAGGTATATCCCTCGTTTTTGTTGTTGTTGTTTTGTTTTGTTTTTAAATCGGGGATAGGATCTCACTCTACAGCCAAGGTTAGCCTCAAACTTTCAATGTAACTCAGGTTGACATTGAACTTGTAGTGATCTTTCTACTCTTGAGTTCTGGGATTATAAATATGAGCTACCAACTGGGTGGTGGTGGCACACGCCTTTAATCCCAGCATTCCGGAGGCAGAGGCAGGAGGATCTCTGTGAGTTTGAGGCCAGTCTGGTCTACTAGTTTCCAAAGTGAGTTCTAGGACAACTAGGGCTGTTACACAGAGAAACCCTGTCTTGAAAAACTAAACAACAAACAAAGAAATAAAAGTCCTTGCCACCAAGACCTGAGTTGATTGTTCTGATTTGAAATTGTTTTCTTCCATGTCGCACTCATTCTAGTCCTATTTCCTGGTGATGATCTGTAGGAATAAATGATGTATATTGAAAATTAATGCTCATTGTGATATTAAAACTTGGGTCTTAAACTTTGTTCTTCTTATTGTACCAACTAGTAAATTTTAGATCTTACTAAAATTGTTTTTCTTTCTGCAGGAGAAGAATTAGAATATGAATTTGATGAGCAGGGGCATAGCACTTGGCTCTGCAGGGTGAGGTGTGTCCTTTTTGTTTGTTTTTTGGCTGTTTTTGAGATAGTATCTTGTTTTGTGAGACTCCTCTTTCTTTTGCCTACTAAATACTGAGCTCATGGGTTCTCTTCTTGTTAATGTCTATAACTGGAGGTGACCACTTTTAAGGTAGCATAAGGTTGCAGAGCCTATCCCCAAGAGTAACTTTATTCTGCATTTTAGGCTGCTACCAAGTGGGTACCTTTACAGTTTAGCAGCACTGAGAGCCGGGGTGAACTGAGTAAAAGTCAAAGGAAATGGTTTCAGGTCCAACCCTGACAAGACAGAATGAATTTACCTGAGAGACTGAAACAGCATCTCAGGAGACATGGCGTCGTGACAGTTGCTCTCGTGAGAGTCGGGCTTTGCTGAGCTGTGACCCCTGTGACCCTG